CCGGCTGCGGTGAGCGGCCGCAGTACCCTCTGCATGGAGGGAGTGGGAGCAGCTGGGTCAGCCCCGTCACCGCCATATTGGTATCCACATGGCGCGATGGCGCAAAGCTGCTGAACAGAGGCATCACCAGAGCTCACGGGTGCAGGAGGTGTCCGCTTGCGAGCCCGTGTCCTGCGGGGGGTGCCTGGGTCCCACCAGTCAGGGGGTTTATCTCCGGATGATCAAAACACTCAGTGATCCCCCACGCTGCCGGCCCGGCGGGGACACTGCCACGTCCCCGTTACCCTGCATAGGCCCTCGCAGCCCGGGTTCGGCCTTGCCAAGCCCCGCGCAGGCCCGTTTATCCGCCCTGTGCTCTGTAGCTACATCGCTATGGTGCTTTGTGGATGGATGACTTCGCTGCCGGCTCCAGCCTGAGAAGTCTCAAACTGGAGAGCCTGGGTGAATGTTTGTCCCTCAGCTCTCACCATGATGACAGCCACGCTTGAAGCAAGTACAGCGCCATATGCAGATAGAAATCAGGCTTCTGTACTTGTTTTGCGAGGCTGCTCGGCAGAGAGGTGCTCTGAGGACACGAGGGTGCTGCAGAACACGATGTTCTTGAGCGAGGCACTGGGAGTTCTTTGATGCCAAGGGGAAACGCTCAAGGTATCTGAATCTGCCTGAAAAGGAAGATTTTTTTCTCTTTATACACGTGAAACAAATCCCCTTGCATTTACTATATTTCAACTCGGACAGACAGATCTTGGCACACTGAAGTCCTCCCTGCAGGGTGAGCTCCGTCCCGCTTGCTGTCTGTCCTGCACGGCCGGTGCAGCGTGGCTGGCGGTGGCCTATCACCTCCCCAGTTCCTGGCTGTGCTGCACGGCCAGGGCAGGTATCGCGATGGCCTGGCTCGGTCGGGACATCCCAGTAACCCTGGTCACAGCGCTCGGAACAGGGCAGTCTCTGGCCTTTTGTAACATGCTGAGACAAAGGTGTTTTCAATAGTTGGCTCAGCAGAGCAACGAGCCCAAATGTGACCTGGAGTGGGGATCCCTCGGGGACGCCATCAGCTGCCGGCTTACGGCCTGCGCTGCCCAAGAGCTCTGGCACTGCTGGGCAAAGCCACCGTCATTGCCTCAGCACCCCAGTCACTGGTCAGTGGGAACTGGCCATCTCCGGTCTGGTCCTTTCCTCCAAGCCCTGTGGATGGAGATGTGACTGAGCGTACTTCAAAAACAGTGCGTTTAATCATGCTTCGGAGTCCTAATTTGGGGGCCAGGAGCCTGGTCTCGGTGTTCAGTATGAGCTGCTAAAGAAAGACAATTTATCACTTTCCCGGCGCCTGCTGCGTGGCTAAAAACCCTTCGCAAACTGACGAGTGTCTCCCAGCACTGGCTCAGCACAACGCGGAGCGGGGGCTGCTGGCAGATGAACATCACATCCAGCTCAAAGATGTATTACTCGTTCTAAAAATACACTGAAACCCCAGATATGAAGAACAGTAAATCTCCTACACAATTAATGGGGTCAAAAGCCATATAGATCCAGACGGAGCATAAACTCTCCTCTGGGAGCTAGTCAGAGCTGCACACAGAGCGGGGAATATTGCCCCCAGGGAGACATGGGTCTGTTGGGCTGTGGATCATTTATCCCAGAGCTCATCAGCTCCTTTTAGATCTCCTGCGGCCTCAGCTCTCACTGCGTAGGTGTTGCTGCCCTGCTTTGGGAGCAATCTCTGAAATACTATGTATTTTTGACACATTATTGGCATCTGGGTGTGCTGCCATCTGTGGATGCTGGCAGCCATTACATCCATCACTTGATGTTGCATCATTCTTGGGGGTTTTATTTAAGATAAAGGCAAATTGTTTATCTTGCACTAGGTAGAACGAATAATTTGTGTTGCTGTATTTCAGTGTCTCTATGGTGTTTCTAAAGCATCTGTCACTTTTGTATGTCCATATGTGACACATCAGCTGGAGAACTGGCTTAAATTTTCATTAAAATGTGAATTTGCTCCACGACCATCATGAACAAGCAGATGGCTCTTCTCTCTCTGCTTTTTTGGATCAGATTTTTCTTTTCTCCCAGAAAAGGAACTGTCTGTAGCAGCCGCATGGTGGTGTGTCCAGACAGCAGAGAAGCAATTAGACATTTACACTGCATCTTTCTGCTGGAGGCATTTCAAAGTCCTTACTCCAGCAAAGGGACTGTTTATCGTATTCAACGCCAAACACTTAAACAGAGCCATCGGTACCTCCTGTCTTTTTTCTGCTGGTGGGCAGACTGGTCTCTTGTCTGAGCCAGGACGCCCAGGATGCTCCAGAGAGTCAATTTATCAGCGTCGCTGTGCATTCACGGTGTCCATACAATACGTCGGGGTTTACATCCTCACCACTGGACCCCCAGAGCTTTGGTAAAACACCAAAAGAGGCGAGTGCGTGTCAGACACCTGAGCTGAGCCCATCGCCGGTGATGGGCTGAACACTACCAGGGAGACGTTAACATCAAATTTTCGGAGCAGGATTCAGAGCAGACACCGGCAGTGTCGGGTGGTTCCGACTGGGCACCGGCTGAGCCCCCTGCGCCCTCCTCACCTCTGTCCATCTTCGGGTGCCCGGTCCCGACCGGCTCCGGGAGACGCTTGTCCCGGGCTCCCCACGAGGTGGCAATGCTGATCTCCTTTGCAAGAGCAACTCGGCGGGCAGCACCGACCTGCTGCGGGCTGTTTCACGCCCAGTGCCTGGCAAATAACCAGCTCCCTCCGTCCTCTCCGGGCTGACCGCTGGCTCTGTGCAGAGGGAAACCCCAGTGCGTGCGGCCGTGGCACTGCCTGGGGAGCTGCCAGCTTAGCTTTAGGCTCAGCAGGAGAAGCAGAGAGGGCCTGGAGCGGTCCGTGTCCTTGTCATCCCCTCAAAGACATGGCTCTGCAGTCGTGCTTTGGGCTGGGGGTGGTTCTGGGAACCATCTTGCCCCTTAGTGAGTGGTCCACACAAACCGCAGGGCCCCTGCGACGAGGAAACGCGCTGATGGTGAGGGCAGGGGCTGCCCAGCAGCCGTGCTCCTGCTAGACCCGAGGATTTCAGGGGGAGATGCTCCCACATGCACCTGTGCGTGTGCAGCACGACAGGCCTGGTGACACTGCAGCGATGCAGCTCAGTGCAGGGGTCCTGCAACGGTGGTTCCGGGTGCTCACGGGTGCTCTGGGTGGGCGACCAGCCCTGGGTTGCTGCAGGTCTCTGAGTTTTGAGACCGGCAAAGCTGTTACACCCTGTGCTCTGAGGTGGGAGGTCTCAAAGCCCCTCTGATACACCTGGGAAGTGGAGCAGAAAGGAAGGAATCATCCTGGCATTTTGCTTTACTGCTTCTGCCGCAGCTCAGAAATGCCCTCCGGGCTGGGACATTCCTAGAAACCTGCTTTTCTCCTCCAACATCCTTCCTGCAGCCTCTGTGTGACTGCACAGACTTGGATTCAGGATGAGCTGGATTTTTGCTGTGCAGTATTTGATTGCATTAATCAGCGCAGGCAGCAGTGACAGACGTTAGCCCTGGTGATTAACCTGCTCCTGGAAAGAGCTGAGGCATGGCCGGGGTGAGCCGAGCTGTCACGGGGCCAGAGGCAGCACACAGAATCCCAGACTTTGCTTAAGCACCACATTCCCTTTCCTCATGCAGCTATTCACCTCCCAAAGTTTGCAAACCCTGGAAGTGTTTATTTAACGAGAAAGTGAACTGATTTGAGGCTGTGGTCTGCAGGATGCTCCCTGTGATACCCACCTCTCGGATGCTCCTGGGATGGAGGCACTGGATGTGCTGTAACACAGACACTCACAGGAGGGTTCCAAACACATCCTCCCCAACGCCACAGCGTGTCCTGGCGCAGCCCCCGCGACGCACAGCAAGGGCCGTCTGCGGGCACATCCCCATCCCTGTCTTACCCAGGGACCCCCTGCTCACCAGTTTGGCTGCTGGTGTATTACAGTCACGGCTTTCTTATGGTGTTTATTCATGCTCCCTCCTACTGCTCAGCTCCCCCTTCCCCTGGCCGGGGCCATCCTCCCCACTGCTCAGCCTTCGCCTTTCCCCGCGCTGGCTGTGACACCTCTCCTCTCCGCGAGGTGCCAGGAGAGCTCTAAGCACTGGGGCTCAGCCCGTCCCAGCCCAGAGGGTGGCTCTGGCCAGCGGGCACATCCCTGGCTCACGGCCCGGCTCAGCCTCTCCCCGCCTGGGCTTGTGCATGAGCGACGGGGTGACACAGGTTCCCCTCGCTGGGAGGGTCCCAGTGTCCGGCCCCAGGTGGTGCCCTCCCGGAGGGCTCTGGGGAGCCCCAGTGGGACAGGGGCCATGGCCTGAGCTGCTCCGTCCCTCCGGGCTCGGGCACTGCCCCTGCCTGCCGGTGCAGGGGTGCTGGGGGTTGTCCCAGGGAGGGTTGTCCGGGGGCAGGGGGATCCCGTGGGTTTCTGGCAGGGAAGGGGTACTGCACCCTCCGCTGCAGCCCTGGCCAGTTCCCGTGTCGTTCCCACGGGGCCAGGATGGGTCCTGTCCTGCACCCACGGGGAGGTTCAGGCTCCCGTGCACACATCACTCAGTGCTCTCATTGCAGGGAGGATAACAAATAAATGTCCACCTTGTGGGGGTCACCCCCAGCCCTCACTTGGGGACTCGGCATCAGCCTGGAGCAAATCTGACACGGGCGCAGAGATCGCAAGGACTGGGAAGGGTGGGAGCAGCTCCCCCCGGCCAGCGCCCTGCCTGCCCTCGTGCCCGCTCCCCGCGCACCGGCAGTCTGGTCGGCTCTGCCCAGCCGCGCTCTGCCCACGGGGCTGCGGCAGGTTTGCTCTGAAGCAGATGCCTGCTGAGGGCCGGGCTCTTCCCGGGCAGCGCAGACCCTGCCAGGGCTTCCCGGGGTCCCCAGCAGCTCTGCGGGTGTCTGGTGGAGAGTAGAGCCGCTGCTCTGAGACACAGTGACCACTGTGCATGGGCCACACTGGCCCCAGAGACATCTCTGGGCCCCCCACGGCTGCTCTTCCCCCGTTTAATGACAAGGAGTGAGTCCGAAGGGTTTTCTGCAGGGAAAGGGCCCAGACCAGGCGGCAAGAACAGCTCGAGGAGCCGGGACAGGGAGAGCCATGACAGGCTTTTGCGTTCAGTCTCTCCTGATGGAGGACGGGAGTGCGGCGCAGCCGACACCAAGCACAGCCAGCGCTGGGCTGACTCAGACCCTCGGCATCAGGCCGTGCTGGGGCGGAGGGAGGGATTGCCCTTGCACGACAGTTCCGCGTGTCAGCCCCAGCACAGCCTGTTTGCACACGCCGGCAAACATGCTCTTGCCAGCCACGTCCTGCTTGTCTGCAGTTTATCACACCCGGGCCACGCTGTCGGGACGGAGAGCTGCTCCCATGGTACCCATGGGAAGGGGTAAAGGCGCTGGTTTGGCTCCTGGCCGGCTCCCTCGCTGGTATGTGGTGGGGCCGGTCAGCGCGGCAGACAAACAGCCCAGGACGTGGGGGTCCAGCCGGGCACGTAACACATCTCCCGCTGCTTCTGCCCTGTACAGCTCCAGCCCTCCCTCCCTCCGTTCAGCCGGGCAGGGGCAACGCGGCAGTCGTGCCCTGCAGCCCCTTGCTCGTGTCTTCCCCCCCCGCCCTGGCTGGGGCCGAGGAAGGTCCTTTGCTGGCAGCGTTGTGTGCCCGGCAGGGCCCTGCTGAGCTGGGCTCCTGGCATGTGGGAGCACACCGCTGGCCCCAGCACCAGCACTGGCGAGGTCTGTGCACACTGGGCCCTCTCCCGCCATGCTGGGTGCCCCGGTATGAGGACACCCCGAAAGCACTGGGAAGAGCACTGAGACCCTCCTCCCAGGTGCACCCCCCCATGGCCCTGTGCTGCTGATGCTGCTTTGCGCAATGGGGACCGAAAAAGAGCCCCCCTCGTTACGGCCCGGCGAGGGCAGAGGGGAAGAGCCTCGCTGTGCAGCTCTCCCTGCGTCTCCGGGGTCTCCAGCGCCCACGAGAGGAGCAGCCCCTTCCCTCCCCAGTTTGGGTCACTGCTGCCTGCTCTGCACAGCCCAGGCCGGGGGTCACCCTCCCGCTCCTGCCAAGGGGGGAACCAGCGCTGCCGTGGGACCAGCCCGGCTTGCAAACAGCTCAGGCATCCTACCCTGCCCTGGTGCTCCGGGGAGAGCGCACCGGGCTGAACCCACCTCTCGCTGACCCAGGGGTAAAGGGACCGGAGCGTTTTGGGGTAACAGCGGCAGAAATGGCGAGCACAATGCCGAGCTGGGCTGTCCTCGCTCTGCTGACTTGAGCGGAGAGAAGGGGCAGGTGAGGCCAAACGCCTCGGTCAGCATGTGCCGCGTTCCAGTTCCTATTTCACTTACGAGGCAAAACCCGCGCCGAGTGTGAGCACGTCCCCGCGCACCTCCCGCCTCCCAGCCCTGCCCCACGGCCCGGCACACTCATCCCTGCCTACACACAGCAACTCCCTGAGGGCCAAACACTGGCCGCCCGCCAGCCCTCCTCCCCGCACGGCTGGCACAGCCCAGCCCGGCCCTGCCCGCCCCGGCACGGCCCGGCGTGGCACAGATTTGCCTCTTACAAAACACTTTGTAAGAGTGTTTTGTACCCGGCAGCCGCAGCACCCACCCTGTCTCCCCGGGATGGGAGCAGGGGGGTCGGCCATGCACCACGGTCCCGGTGCCCTGACCCAGATGGGGACAGACTGGCCCCGGGGAAGGGGGAGCTTCGGGGGCACAGCCGGGCTGCAGAGAGCACAGGTTGCAGTGGCAGAGGGACACTTGCAGGGACCTGGGGTGCCTGAGGTCCTTCGGAGCATCGTGGCTGCAAAGCCCAGAGCCACTGCTGCTGTTTGCTGCCATGTCAGCTGCCTG